GATATCGGACGATGCAGCGCGAACAAAGCTCTTGTAGCGAAAGCACTACAAAATCGAAGCTTCAACACTACACAAGTAAGAATACAATTTAGATGAGAAAATATATGCTGATTCATGAGTAGAAGAATAAAATAATGATGAGAAAAAATTTCGCGAAGATAAACCGAGCAGTTTCAAAAGCATTACACAAGCCTTGAATAAAAATACGATCTACACAGTAGAGAAAAACGTAAAATCTTAAAGAATGCAGATCATATTGATAAAAGAAAAATTAAACATGACTGAAAATGCACAAGAAAAGTGACTTTTATCAGCGATTGACTTGTCACGTACAACACAAAAAGTTGATTGCATGCGACACCGCCAAGCTTGCAATTTGTTGGTTTTATTGGACCGCCTGCAACGAATTAACACGATCACCTTTGTTTCTATGTTGCGCAGGTCAAACTGTTTGCCTAGGTTCTTGAGAGTTTCGATAAGAATTTCGAGGGAGACAGTTATTTTTTTAGATTCCGCTGATTGCCATCGACGCCAACGAATGCCCATTTTCAGACAAAGGATTAAATCAACTATACCTGAGCTGTTCTACTGATTCAATGGACCAGGTAGATCAACGAGGCAAAAGTCACGGTTAAACTGAATCCGAAAGCGCCCATAAAGCTGAGTCAGACTGACTGTGGAATGTGGATTCTGCAAATCCAAGAATCAAAATAATTGTTAAAGGAACCCAAACCCGTACAGAGCTGTTTCACACATTATTCTTAGTATGTTGTAAAAATCAATCACTTATTCGAATCCGGATGACGTTAAGAACAGATTATTTTGGAAGTGCCATTACCTCGAGAGCAACCACTGCTCAAACAATAAGGTTATCATATATTGCTTTCTCTTCCGTAGCTACTTCATCCATGGGTTACACAAGATATAAAATGCAAAACAGGTGACCTCATCTTCTAATCACAGAAATTTTGTCAGCGAAGCCCGTACATCCAAATACACGTATTGGGATCTATGAACGAACTTCTGCTCTCAGGTACAATGAGAAAAGAATTTGCAAACTACAATAACAGATCAAAAGTTTATCTTGATATCAGTTTGCCTTCTCCATGGCAAAAAACATTTTTTTACATTCGTTGGTTGCATTACTCAGAAAATTACTCTTCACATAAACGACACTTTTAGATGAAATGCAAGTTCAACATAAACCTATTTCAATTTTTGCGCAAGCGAACTCTTAAATCAAACTAGATGAAAAATTCTCCGCTAAGCAAAAGCAAGTATTGTCCTGACCATCAGCCATTTCGATCCACTGCTGATGAAGGCTTCTATACGACCATATTATAAAAGACACTAAATTTGTTTCTGCGATTAAAAGAAATTCTTAAGCTGATCCTGCCATCAACCTCATTTCTTCATATGAACCGTTTATTTTTGATAAAAACTAAATCTAATGACTTACTGCTTTAGCGAATGTCAGTTCTTCGTGCATCGTGTCCTGTCTATTGCAATTTTAACTTCTTCACTAGTAGGATGAAATCAAAGACCTGTTTGTGCCATTGCCGACTGGTTGGTCTATTCATTTTCTCTTGCTATTGCCAGCATATAGTTTTCTATATGTACTGCGTAGTTTATGAATAGTCTTTTGACTCGGAAGCCAAGCTTCGCATCCATAGGCTTAGCACTGCGAGCACTAGTCGAAAACTTTTGCTTTCAAGCACAAGGATAGTTTAATCGAGAAAAACATTATCAATATTCCAAAAGTACTGGATGCCAATGTTTCATTCTTTTGTCAACTACGCAGAGTCCATCCTCTGTTGCAGGGAAAAACTAGACGTCGCTCGGCACCTCTTCAAGGTTGATTTCATTTACTTCAGGCCGCGGGATCATTTATTAAACATGACTTGAATCTTCGTAAGGTCGATTTGCAGTCCTATTGTGACGCTGGCGTCGTTCAGAAAGGATTATACATGAGACTACACATCATTATCTGAAGAAAAAAGCTTAACTGAAAGTGCTCAGCAAGTGAGCGTGGTTCAACCGCGATTATGACTTAAAAAATGCCAAAGTACATGAGAAATTACCTTTGCTACTTTTCCAAAGTCTCTCCATACCGTTGCGCATTAAAACCAACCTGGACAATTCAGTTAGACTTTCTCTAACATTGAATGACGCCAAAGGCGAAACCTCGAAGTACTCCATGTTTCGTTTTCCAGCAAAGTGTTCCGCATAGTTTCTCGAGATCTGGCGTCTGAATTCTAAATGCAGACGATTTCCGATCAAGATCTTCGGTATTCCGGGTGCTTGCTAAAAAATATATTAAAAACAAAAAAACAACTAATATCAACCACACATCAAATATGATTTAAACAATGCAAAAGATGTTGTGGAGAAAATCTGAAAACAAACAGAAAAATTACGTTAAGATACAATGAAACGCTACGATCTGCTTTCCAGAAAAATAAGCGAGTGAAACTAAATATTTTTAAATTTACTTTCAAGACCATTTATTACATTACACTCTTGTCGTGGATGTAACAGCTTCAAACGGCTTTTCCGCCACCGACATGCCCCCATTTAGTTAAACAAGGCCAACAAGGACTCAACTATATACGGAATAATGCTAAGTCAAAGGATTGAATATTTTGTTGAGGCGTTGGTATGACACGCCGAAATATGACAACGTTAGATTATTCACATAACTGAGCCAGCTGGTCTGCTCGCCTGGGATAAATTCCGCATAGCTTTATCAAGAGCGTCTGAAATGCAACTCTCTCCCGTTACATACTAACGTAAGCGCAAACCAACGTTCGATTCCCTGATTTGGGGAAGAAGGGGTTTACAAGCTAAGAAGTCTGTCGTACTCCAAAGTATATCAAGCGTTGTCACATAACAGTACTTCAAAGAAACTTCATTTTTGCCGTTTGTATGAGGGATCGTATTCTTCTCATTAATATCTAGCATTCCCGAACACAGGCAAAAACAGACACATAGAATGGCTTGGAAACAAACACATTCGTATTACCTCTCAACTTCCTGTTCTTTACAATAAACTGGTTTAGCTGTCGCACTACAAGGCTCGTCTAGCCGATGCTTCTCTACTTTGACGTCCTGTCAGTTATCACTCGTGAATGCTACCCATTGATAGTTAACTGCTGTACGTACTACAGTTTCACTAGTTTTACACAGAGAGCAAACTGGATAGCTTTCTCGTGAGTGCAGCAGCTATGCATCTAATTCGATACATGAATATTACAAGCAGCGAAAAAAAATATACACTGAGTAAAGAGCGCCTAATAATTTTTAAAATACTTCATCTATTTCCCGTAGCCATCGCGTGATTCCATCAAATGACCAACGATTAGTAATATCGTAAACGACAAGAACACCCTATAAAGAGATGATTAGGTTTTCAAAAATAAAAAGGTTTGCTAACGTAAATAAATAAATAAATCTAAGCCTCGACATCTCAGAAAAGAGCATACATAACACCTGTTGATTACCGCGCACCTGGCTGCAACCATTCGAAGAAAAAGGCAAATATGGTATTCTGAACCACACTAAAGAGCCGAACATCATACGTCCAATACACCCGCAACTAAATAACTATCTAGCGATTTCCGCAGATCTTGATTAATTAATAGAGCACATTTGCTCTTCATCACATTAACCTCTCGACTTCGTCAACTTTGAATGTTGCTTCGAATTTAATGTCGGGGAACGTAAATACGAGAAGGTGAGGGAGTACGCAATTTGGTAAGTCAATAATAATTTAGTTAACTAAGTTAATATTTCAAAGTTGGTACTGTCTCACTCTCTGCTTTTAACTGTAGGTCCATCGGTCGGAGTAAGTAAGGGAGCGTTTACTTCACTCAAAGTTGGTTTCTAAGCGCGGCTCATAACATCACTTCTTTTCTACTAGCTGTTTAGGGCAATTTAAACAGGTAATAATTTCACAGCAGTTGAACAGCTGTAGCTTAGAGGTATCTCTCGAATTAACGAGATTGAACAATACTATGCTCAGCGTCAATTATGAAAGTATTCAGGCATCACATTCCAAATCCATTGAGCCAGGCCTTGCTTAAATGGGTACACAAGTTTTTAAATGCATTGGGAGCATGACTCTAACAATAAATATCGGCAGGGGTAGTTGAGTGCATATTTCCTTTACATAGCAGATGACCAAATAAGCAATATAAGTATAAGATAAACGTTGTTTTAATGTACTTTTTCGATACTTCCTTGAAGCAATCACGAAACGACAGAATCAGAAAATTAAAATTTATACTGTACCTGGGCACCACGTGAATATGATCGTAAAATGGTAGAAAATCTACCTTGGCCACTGGTATCCCTAAAAAAATCGTTAACCACAAGTCAGTAACATAACTTGGCTGTGACATACCATAACTGCAGTTTCACCTTCTTGCCTTCCAAGAGGATGGTCGTGGTTTTCGGCGAAATAACTAAACAAGAGTTTAAAAAAGTGCTACTGAGGCAGATCAGGGTTCTAGCAATAGCAGGAATAACGTATATATGTTTGCACGTTGCAATCAGGCACCTTTAATTATGCACTCCATCGAAAAAAAATCCGCACTTTCATACAAATACCTATATTACATGTCAAAATAAGTTTTTAAAATAATAACCTTCCAATACGTGTGCCATTCATC